GATTTCCTTAAATTTGATTCTATAATTCGTGAATTGGATAATATAGGTTCCAAAATTGATGAATCTGACAAAATATGTCATCTGTTATTGTCATTGAATGAAGAGTATGAAAATGTAATCACAGCAATAGAAACAATAAATACTGATATCAAAAAAAGGAACCACTGTCCAGGTTCCTGACCTCATACCTAACTCCTGTAATTTGTTCTGCAAACCTCCATTCCATTAGTAACATACCTGATTTCATAATTGATTTAAGAAATTTAAAACCTACACCAGGATGTATAATTGGTTCCACCATTTAATAATAGCCAATATGAAAGACATACTGAATCAAAATTCGACTGACACCATAGAAATCAACAGAATCATTACTTTATTCCAGCTGTCTCTCAATTGTGAATTTTTAATTTGAAGATGAAATATACCAACAGATTTGTGGTTCACCCATGGGGAGCCCGTTATCATTAATACCTGCCGAAATAGTCATGTTGAAACTGGACAAATGGATCAATAGATTTAAGGAACTGGGCATATAGAAATGGTACCACTACATCGATAATATCTTTTGTGAAAATGAACAAGACAAAGAACAACTCATTTTAAGCACCTTAAACAGTTACCACCCCCAGATTAAATTCACATTGGAGACAGAAACTGAAGCAGCACTACCATATCTATATATTCTTATCCTTAGAACCGAAAATAAATTCCATTCTATAGTGTATTACAAAAGAGGATTAGCACCATCATATCTTAGTTTCAATTCATTTGGTCCAATAGGTCATAAAATATCAACAGTTAAGACGCTAACCAAAAGAATTATCACACATTGCTCTCTACCTGGTTTCAAAAGAATAGAAAAATTAAATATCATTCACAACCTGCAAAAGTCCGGATTTCCACTACAATTCATTCTGAAGCACGCCTACAACCAATTCCTCTCCAAGAATCAGACAGTATACCGAAACAATTGCTACTTCGATCTATCGAGTCACACACTGTTTCCATCTGACATAACTCTTTTAGAGAAAGGCCTCAAATTCCGTATTCCCACCAAGCCTAACCCGCCAGAAGTCATCAGCTCCATAGAATCGACCATCAAAGCCTCCCCCTAATTACCGCGCAAACCTCATTACACTTCAGAAACTTAAACGCTGTAAATCCATAGTCATCACACGGTCAGACAAAGGTTCTAACACCGTTATCATTAACCAGGACAGTTATCTCACAAAAATGTATGATCTACTCCGTGATAACTCCACCTTCTCCCTTATCACAAATCAGGCCAGCCTCTCTATAGTCAAAGCATTTAAAAACTCGCTGCTCCATTTAAAGTCCAAACATATCCCTCCTAACGATTATAACCTCTTCATAGCCAACCTTCACAACTCAGCATATATAAATACGGCCTCCCTAAAATACACAAACCTGAGATACCTCTCCGCCCTTTTATAGCTTACCATTTATCGCCCGCATTTCCATTGGCCAAATTTCTATCCAGTTACCTATCCCCGTTATTAATCAGCTATAGTAATATTTATTCTATTAACAGCACCCTCCACTTCATCAGTGAGTTAACTGCTTTTAGCCCCGATCCTTCTGTCACTATGTGCTCTTTCGATGTTACCTCCTTTTACCTCAGTCTTCCCCACGAACTTATCATAGACAGTTTAACACAGTTTCTTAACTCGCAGAACATTGATTCCCACACATCCTCACCTATAATTCAACTTATAAAAATTTGTTTAAATATGAACACGTTTACCTTCTTACAGGACCACTTCAGACAGATCAAGGGCTCCCCGATGGGCAGCCCTCTATCCTCCATAGTAGCCGAAATAGTTATGTTTACAAGTAGATCACTGGATCACCCGTACCCTCCCCTCAGATATTCAGTAGTGGCACCGATACATAGACGATGTTTTCTGCATATGCAAGAAAGGTCAGGAAAGCACCATTTTGTCAACTCTTAATAGTTTTAACCATAACATTTCCTTTACCCTAGAGACAGAATCCAACCATGTTATTCCTTTCCTGGATATATTAATTATCCGTACCTCATCCATATACCACACTACAGTTTATTATTAAAAACAATGCCCCCCAGTTACACTCATTTTAATTCACACTGCCCTATCTCATAAAATCAATATTATAAAAACCCTCACCAAAAGAATCTACACCCACTATTCCCTAGACATTTTTAGAATTATTGAAAGAAACCGCATCATATCACACCTCTCTGAAGCATCTTACCCTCTCGCATTTATCAATAGATATACATATACACCAAACCCCCCCCCATGCCACCTACAACCTATAGATCATTATGTTTCCTTCCCTATTCTCCCTCCACAGTTGATATAGCCAGAAGTCTTAAATCATATGGTATCCGCACCTTTTATAAGAACTCCCCCAACCTTCTCACATCCCTACGTCACCCTCACACCAAGCCCCTTGACCCCCAGATCCCCTCCGTTCTGTTGGCGTAGTTTATTCCGTCTCCTGTGAGCAATGCTCCGCCACTTACGTAGGCGAGACGGGTAGAGCTGTTGCCATCAGAATGTCTGAGCACTCCTGTAACATCTCCAACCATGACTCCAGATCCCTCCTATATCAGCATATACAAAATACAGGCCATTATTTTAACACCAAACACCCCACCATACATTACAAGTACATTCACAACCAACACCAAAGACTTATACTAGAATCCATAGAATCCCACAAACAGAACAGTATCAACCATAAAATTGACCTCCCTGACGCTTATTATGCTCACCTGGCCTTTATGTAATTTTCTCATTTATATATTTTAACTCCATATCAGCCATATCATATACTTCACTAATATTTCCTGCCTCCTGCTATGAATTTGCATATCTTTGAAATTTTATCCTCTATGATTATTATTTTACTCATTTGCATGTTTCTCTGCTATAGATATGTAAATAATATATGTATGTATATTCACTTCAGCCATTAGTATCTACGTTCATAGTGTCGTATTTATGCTTTAGCTTGCCTATTGAAGGGTTTTTGCCAGAAAGCTTGCGTTGTTGAATGATTAAAGAAACTTGTCTTCTTTCATTTTATTAAATCGCTACATATCTTACTGAGAAGAATCTTATATATCCAATTGCTACTTACAATATTCTCCAACCAATCAAAAACTAGCTTGCGAATCAAAGAAATTTGGAATTAGATTTTTATTCAGAACTCCCCGGTCCATAGGTCAAATAATAAGAAACCCTATTACCAAATCCAATACCAGAATCGAACCTGGAAATTAGCACAACGCCATATACTCGGTATCCTGCCAACAGTGCCCTGCCTCATACATAGGAGAAACCGGACGAACAGTCGCCATCAGAATCAAAGAACACATCCGCAACGTCAAATATCACGACAATAGATCATTAATATATCAGCACGAAGAATCCACCGGCCATCAATTTAACCTACTGGATGTGAAATGCTATTTTCAGAACATATTTTCAAAATATAACAGACTCATTCTAGAATCAGTAATTTCAAATAATAATAGCAGCATAACCCGAAGAATCGATATACCACAGCAGTATCAACACACATCACGAAGATAAATCCATAGTCTTTACCTAGTTTTGATCTGTCATCCATTTATCAAAGGATTTCTTTAATATTTTATTTGTAATGTAAAAATGAATCATGTTTTCAATAGTTTTTGCATAGCATATTTTATAAATTTTATACGTAAATATTTTTTAGGATATATATATGTTGTAAATAATTTTACCATATATTATTTTCTACATAAATTTTATTTTTTTTAATACTTTGTTTATTTCATAGATGAACTCTGTGACGCCGAGAAGTCCAGACGGCGCTGATGTAGATATAAATGTTGTTTTTTTTGCTTAGTCGAGTTAGTGAAGGGATTCCAGTACTTGTAGTTCTATACCAAGTTATGAACCCGCTGTCCATTAACATCGCCCGCTACTTGATTATCTTCCGCCGCAAGTCCCTGAAACTCGCCACATGGAGATGCCATCTCGACTTCAACAAACGTTGCGTTGCCCTGGATTTCATTCCCCTGTCCTTGAAAGTAAAAGACCCAGTTGGCAACTCATATTCACAGAGAGCTATATCCGATCTACAGAAACGTCTCCTCCACGCCAGAATACAGGGATGCCACACTAAAATACGCTTTCTTTCCAAGACCCTCAAACAGCTTGCATGCATCATCTCCCAGACAACCCCCCCAAACCAGTTGACCCACATCATAACCAATATAACCTCGGAAGTAAAGCTCCTACAGAAGAATATAAGAATCCGACACGATAAAAAACTCCGCTACTGGTCAGTTAAATTTCGACTACAACTCCATGACACCGACCATTCCTCCAATCTCGTCAACCTCTCCTCAACGGATCTCACTCCCCAGGAAACCACCCTTCTAAGTAAAAGCCTCAAGTTTAGACCTGTCTCTAGGCCAGATCCCCTGAAAATCATCAGTGCTGTTGAAGCCGGCATCCGCAACCTTAATAATTCAGATAAATATAAAATACGCCACACAGTCTCCAACATCTCCACTTTCAAACCCATCTCTGCCCAAAACAGAGCCTCCATATACTCCTCCGTCCGCAAAGAACTCAACCGTCTGAAAAGAAACCAGATCATTTCCCCAGAAGAACACAAGTCCTTTCTCGCTGATACCGCTACAGAATCCTATATATATGATGTGGATGAACTTAAAAAAAAATAATTAAATATGAGTGATTGAATATTAATTAATTTATTTTTCTATTGTTTTTTGACCAAGAAAAGGTAAATTCAATCTATCAAAAGATATGTAAATTTTGTTCGTGCAATTTTAATTTTAATTTTAGTTTTGCTTGAGTTGGATGTAAATATTCTTAAGGAAGAAAAATAAACTTCTTTTTTCTTTTATAAGTGCAGACTTCTTCTGTTTGATATAAATTTCTAGAAAATTAATTAAACATCAAAGTTAACAATGGCGACGAGGATGGGATTCGAACCCACGCGGGCAAAGCCCAATGGATTAGCAATCCATTGCCTTAACAACTCCCCCTTTTTTAAGATAGCAATACTCATTAAGGTACATATCTATCCGGTGGTCTCCTCTCTCGTAGTGGATATCTCCGGGAAGATATAAAAATAAAATAGGCCATTTAAACTTAATAGTAACAAATATTGAAAATAATAAATTTCTCATAGGAAAAGACTGGATAGTATATTTTGATATGGTACAAATTAATGTCCAACAAAATAATAATTTTGATACTAATTTTATTTTTAATAAATATTGTAAACTTTTCAAAGATATAGTCTTGCCAATAAAGGATATTTCCGTACACATTAATGTAAAAAATAATTTTGCACCAAAATTTTATAGATTTAGACCTGCTCCCTTTGCTATTAGAAATTCAATTGAGGAAGAACTATTATTTTTATTGAATAATGATATTATTGAAAATATAGTGGATAGCCCAATAGCTTCACCGCTAGTATGCGTCCCTAAGAAAAACGGCAAAATTAGAATTTGTGCGGACTTTAAAAGAACCTTAAATCCATTTATCGAGGATGTAAAGTATCCGATACCGAACATCGATAATGTTTTACATTCATTTTTTGGTAAAAGTATATTTAGTAAAATTGATCTTTCAAGCGCATATCATCAGATACTTCTAGACGAGGAATCTCAAAAATTGACAGTTATTTCTACCCATAAAGGCCTTTTTAAATATAAAAGGCTGCCCTTCGGTATCAAGTCCGGAGCGACTATTTTCCAAAGAACTATGGACAATATTTTTTCCGGTCTTAAAAATGTAATAATATATTTAGACGATATTCTTGTAGCATCGTCTGATGTAAATGAGCATATTTCAGATATTGAAACAGTCATGAATAAATTATCGGATTTTAATTTTTCAATTAATAAAGAAAAATCTTTGTTTTTTGTTGATGAAATCGATTATTTAGGACATAGAATAAATAAAAATGGAATCTATCCCCTTGAGGATAAACTGGACAGTATAAAAAAATGTCCTAAACCGAGTAACATTTCAGAATTGAAATCTTTCTTGGGCATGTTGTCATTCTACAGTAAATTCGTTAGAAATTTATCCATACATGCAAATCCTTTATTCTCTCTATTGAAAAGAAGTTATAATTGGAATTGGAAAAATGAACATGATCAGGCTTTCGAAAAATGTAAAAATTTGATTAGTACAAAAACTTGTTTGACGCATTATTCGCAAGATTTACCTCTTTATGTTACTTGTGATGCATCAAATTATGGTATTGGAGGATATATTTCCCATATTGTAGACGACACTGAGAAACCAATTACTTTTGTTTCAAGAACACTAAATGACACAGAAAAGAAATATTCCCAAATAGAAAAAGAAGGATTAGCAATATTCTTTACCTTAAACAGGCTAAAACAATTCCTTTACGGAAGAAAATTTATTATTAATACAGATCACAAACCATTACTAGCCATTTTTGGCGATAAAAATAATTTACCAGCCTTAGTGGCAAATAGATTACATGATGGTCACTCTCAATATCAAATTTTAATTTTGAAATTAAGTATACTAAGGGAAGTGAAATACCTCTTGCAGATTTTCTTTCAAGATTTCCAAATCCTGAAAAAGGGGAGAAGGAAGAGGAAATGGGAGAAATATTATTAATAGAAAATTCGATATTAGATTACGTCTTGGTATCGTACAAAACCCAAGAAGATCCAACTCTTAGAAAACTATATAAGTTAGTCAAGTACGATAGGTATGATGTTGACTCAGAGGTAGATATAAAACCTTATAATAGAATTAAAAACGAGATAACAATAGTAAGAAATTGCCTGTTTTTCGGAAATAGAATGATCATCCCCGATTCCTTAAGAGAATATGTTTTGAAAATCATCCATGAAAATCATATTGGAGTAAATAAAATGAAAACTCTGGCCAGAAGTTCTGTCTATTGGCCGGGAATGGATGAGCAAATTGAGAAACTGTCTAAAAGCTGTAGCACTTGTATGGAAAACACATCAAAGCTGCCAAAACAGGAATTTACCGAGTGGACTCCACCAAACAAAGTTTGGAAGAGAATTCATCTTGACTATTTCTATTTTGCGGGAAAAACTTTTTTGATATTGGTGGATGCGCATTCTAATTGGATAGAATGTCAAATGGTTCCAAATACATCGGCGGGATTCTGCATAGACTTTTTGAGAGAATGTTTAGCGAGATATGGTATCCCGGAGGTGGCGGTAATGGATAATGGGCCCCCGTTTAGAAGTTATGAAATAAAGACATTTTTCGAAAGAAATGGCATACATGCGATGTTCAGCCCCGCTTACCATCCGGAGAGCAACGGACTAGCGGAAGTGTCTGTAAGAGAGATAAAAAAAACTATGAAAAGAATTATTTCGGAGGAAAGGGAATTGCCCCTTGAGTTTGCTTTGATTAAGGCTTTATATGCATATATACTGAGTCCTTTGACTAGAACGGAGAAATCCCCGGCTGGAATATTTTTAAATCGCGAGATTAGAACAAAGATTTCCATGTTGAGCAAGAAATCAGTAAGAGTGGGGAGATTGAAAAATAAAAAACAGAACAATAGCTACAAAGTAAATGATAGAGTAAGATACAGATGGATGGAAAGAGGAAAACCGAAATGGATGTTTGGGATGGTAAAGAGAATAGTGGGAAGCAACAGCTGTATGATAGAAACTGATGGAATAGAAAGGAAAGTACACACTAACTATATGAGGAGAAGTATGGAGAGAAAGGATGTTTCGTCATCAGAAGAAGGAATAAGCTACCCAAGGCCTCAGACGTCAAGTCCCCTGACTCCTGCTACAATAGTAGCAGAATCTACACCTGGACCACCGACTGAATCTACACCTTCCCGGAGATATCCACTACGAGAGAGGAGACCACCGGATAGATATGTACCTTAATGAGTATTGCTATCTTAAAAAAGGGGGAGTTGATGTGGATGAACTTAAAAAAAAATAATTAAATATGAGTGATTGAATATTAATTAATTTATTTTTCTATTGTTTTTTGACCAAGAAAAGGTAAATTCAATCTATCAAAAGATATGTAAATTTTGTTCGTGCAATTTTAATTTTAATTTTAGTTTTGCTTGAGTTGGATGTAAATATTCTTAAGGAAGAAAAATAAACTTCTTTTTTCTTTTATAAGTGCAGACTTCTTCTGTTTGATATAAATTTCTAGAAAATTAATTAAACATCAAAGTTAACAATATATATGGCCTGCCCAAGCTCCACAAGCCCGGAATTCCATTAAGACCAATCGTGGCCCACTTCCTATCCCCCATGGCCCCAGTCTCCAAGTTCATTTCGTCTTTCCTCTCATCCCTCCTGAAAGGTACTCCTTCCCTTACCTCCATCACCTCCACCAGTTCATTCATTGATGATGTGTATGGTACCCCTCCTTGTCCGAACCTCGTCATGGTTTCATTTGATGTAGTATCGTTATACCCTAGCCTCCCCCATGATTTAATTGTAGACTCCCTTAGGTCCTTCCTAGTTGATTACCATGTCGATTATCATACTTCCGCCAAAATTATAGAACTCACCCATCTCTGTTTACAATCTTCAGTCTGCTCTTTCAACTCCCAGTTTTTTCTACAGATAAAAGGGTCCCCAATGGGGAACCCTCTATCCTCAGCTGCTGCAGAGATTTTTATGCGGTCTATAGATATGCGGATCACCTCAGATTTTCCGTCCGATATCCGCCTTTGGTGTAGATACATAGATGATGTGTTCTGCATATGCACAAAAAGCCAGGTTGAAAATATCCTCTCAAAACTTATTAGTTACCATCCGAAACTTACAACGTCCTCCCATTCTTAGATTTCCTAATCATCCGGACCCCAACCAGATACCACTCCACAGTACATTACAAAAAATTCGTTTAGACCCAATTATATTCACTTCAACTCCTTCTGCCCCCTAAGTCACAAAATCAACACCGTCAAAACCCTATCTAAACGAGTTCACACCCACTGTTCCACCTCTGATTTCAAAACCATGGAGACCAATAGAGTCATAGCCAATCTCATTAAATTCCAATACCCGAAGTCTTTCATATTAAGCCAATTCCACAACCCCAACCACACCCCTTCCAACCCCATATATAAATCCATATGTGTCCTCCCATATTCCCCCACTAGCTCCTCCATAGCCCGAGCCCTAAGCAAGTTTGGAGTCAGGACCCTGTACTCAAACTCCCCTAATATCAGCTCCCTCATTAAGAACCCAGACACCAAAAGCAAAAGCCCATATAACCCATCTCTCTTGTCTGGCTGTGTCTACTCCATCCCCTGCGCTGACTACGACGCTGTCTATGTTGGTGAGACAGGCAGGAGCGTAGGGACAAGACTCGAGGAGCACAGCAGATGCATCTCCAGACAAAATGAGAAATCAGCTATATATCAACACATCCGGACCTCCAACCACTCTTTCGACCTGGCCAATCCATCTGTGCACTATAGCTGCCTATACAACAAGCAGCAGCGCCTCACCTTGGAAGCTCTCGTTTCCCAGGGCTTCCATGCCATCAATAGACACATCGACCTCCCTGAATCCTACCAATCCCTGTTCCCATAGCCTTGTATCCTCCATCTGTGCGTATCCCCCCTCCTCCCTCATAGACATTAGAAAATATTCCTAACTCAACTACATTCAATAGCTATTATCATGCATGTTAAATTCTACTTTCCATAATTTCCTAGTATGCTAATTATTCCTCACAACATTTCATAGATATGCAAAGTCCCTATAGTTTTTAAATATGTAAATAGTCTCATCCCTTTATAGTGTCCAATGTTCCATAGTTTTCACATGTCTCCTGTAAAAGGGCCGGCCACCCGAAAGCTTGAGCGTTCTGTAATAAATCATCGTATAAAAGAAACTCGTCCCTTGATTCTTGAATTTTATCGTATTAGACTTTTTTGGTTATCAAATATGTCGATTTACTATATTTTTTTAATTAAGTTTTTTTCTCTCAAGATTGAGGTATTCTACCTGTAAAGATTCCTCAAGTTTGTTA